CAGTGGGAACTGAGATGGGGGTGATCCCAGAATATTTGAAATGTGAAAATGAGTCCAGCACATACAAGCAAAAATGAAGAGTATGAGAAAGAAGTAGTAGACGTAACATGGCAGGGCTTGGTAGGGTGAGAGACACCACAATGACTTAAAATTTTACTTGGAGTAAGATGAAAACTTTTGTCAAATGCCTGCGCTATTCTTAACGCTGATGCTCTAGAGATGAATAAGAAAATAATTAGAAATGGAAGTGTTTATAATCTGATTGGAGTCCATTAACAGTCTGAGGAGGGACAGATGAGGATGTGGGAGCCAGGTGGGAAAGATGAGTCTGTTTGTCACAAGGTTTTGAAGTAGGGGAAAAGATAATACAGAAATGGGCATTTTAAGTGAAGAAAGTAGCAGCTGAAAAGTTAGAGAGGAAAAACCAACTGGTACATAAAATCTTTTCCCGCCTTCTTACAAAAGCTTTTCTTTAGAGGGTCCTTGTTATTGGCGTTGATCATTCAACAACAATGGAGCCCTTGAACAATCTGATAGTGGCTATCTTCTTTTAGAAATGGAAGGAACAGTCCGTGAACTAATGATGAGCAAGTTTGGCCGTGTGATAGACCTAGCAGCTCTTCAGACACTTTCTGTGAATGTAACACTTGAAGAACTCAAGATCAAAAAAGTTCGCAAGGAGCTATTGAATGCAAAGGAAATGAAGAAGTGGGAGGTATGGATGAGAGGGCACGTGACCCACTAAGTGGAGGCAAGAAATCCTGGTGAACTGTGTGTGGTTCCTGCAAAGCATCTGTACACCTGGAGATGGGTCTGGGTCTGTGAGCCACACTCTTCAATCCACCCCTCCACTGTGATCTGATCTTAAGCCTATCTCATTCTCCTTACCATTCACCTAGTTGGAGGGACTAGTCTATCTTGGATTGAAAGCATCAGCACTGGGGCTTGGGGTCGGGGATGCATGTCAATATGATGGTGAAATGGCATGAAAGATTACAGAGAGATTTCATGTTGAGGTCTCAGAGCTCTAACAGGGTCAGAAATGGAACTGCTGTACTCTGAGGATCTGAACTGTGTTATTCTATATAGCGTTTACATGCTGTTATAATCTGGAAATTAGAGCACATTTCTGAATAATAAATTTTATAGCAAAATGTGGGCTATTCAGCTGGTAAGGTCTTAGAAGATGAATTTAATGCCTACATTGCTTGTGGAGCTGTAAGACGAGGCAGTGCCTAGTTATAGACTGATTCAAACACAGGTGCTTTTACAGAGATTTGATAAGCCTGCAAATCATTACGACTTCTCCGGTTTCCAGTCTTATTTCATCAGTAGTTAGGGAAGGTGGGGAGATTCCTAGTGCTATCTTGTCTCATCATTTTTCACCCAAGATTTGCCACTGCGCTGTGAAGAAGTAAATTACCGATGCTCATAAGCATTTGTGTCGATGGAACTGGTCCCTGTTAATGCCCAGTCTGCATACTAACTTCATTCCTCAGTGATGGAGTGATGTCGATGTCTGCCTTATCTACTGTTATCCTCGATCATACTTACACTCTTCTTGTCTTGTCTCTAGTCACACCAGACCCGAAGCAGTTGCTTCTGGTTGTATCTTCATACTGACTGACTTCTGACTATATATTTCTATATGCCTGTCATTTCAATTTCCTGGTAGTTTTGATCAAATCTGGATATTTCTCTATCTCCTCTCATTTATTTAATCTGTTTTTGCATCTTCCTGCCCTGGTAGGAAAAGATTGCCCAGGTGCGATGGGAACTGATGATGAAGACGGAAGAACACACCAGGAAGCTCCACCAGATGAACGACTTGTGTATTGAAAAGAAGAAGCTCGATGCTCGGTTGAACACGCTACAGAACCAGCAGGTGTGCTTCTTCTCTTCAGAGTCTTTGTCGAACTGGTGGGCTTCTGTACAGCAGCTGAATATTCACAGGAATATTAAGTGCTGGCATTTAACAAACCTGTTTTTAGACTGCTTCTCGCCCCACCTGGGTCTCTGAGACCATTGAATTGAATCTGGCCACGTTACAGTGAGCCTGAGGGACAACCTTCATTGTAAGCCTCTTGGGTGCCATGAACTTACGTAAGTGCTGCTCTTCAGGGTGTGCCTTGGCCCTGGAGAGATAAGGTTGTTTGGGCATAAATAATACTAGTATACTACCTGAATTTGGTGTCAAACATCTATCTCCAATATCTGCTTATTTAATTTGACCTAAGTGGGTCAGAGGCACAAGATGGCTGCCTCAGCTCCCTGTTTCACGTCCATATTCCAGCCTCTTTGGTGCCTTTCATAAGAAAGAGGGAGTTTTCTGCTTATGTTCACTTAGCCACTCCTAGCTGGAACAGAAACGGGTAAGGTTAGTGTTTAGCTTCCACAGCCTGTAAAGTGAAGGCAGGCAAGGGAGAAGCTATCGGGTAACGATGACCTCTTCTTACTATTTAGTTCTGCCATAGGAAGTGAGGGTAACGGGCACAACATGGACTTTAGGCATACATAACCTGCTTCCAGTCCTTAATAGCATAGTCACTTGGGCCAGGTCATGCATCTCTGTCTCAGTCTCTGTAGCTTTAAACTGGAAGAACACCATCTAGCTCACGGAGCTGCTGTGAGGATTAAATGAGTCAACATAGGTAAAGCACCTGGCCGAGAGCAGAGATGGCCTACGTGGTTCACCCCTTCCTTCAGCGAGCATGCAGCGGATATGGAGCATCTGCTCAGGCCGACAGGCTCTAGGCCGAGTGCCGGCCCTGCAGTGAGGCCCAGGAGCACTGGGCCTTCTCTCTGAGAGGCACGGAATATCACAAGAAAGATACCAAACATTTAGGTTGAGCCATAACAAGTCGCCACTTCATTTAAGCTAAAAAGTGGTTAAATGTCATAAATCTCAAATGGTTCAGTTGGATGATTACAATGACACAGGATGGCTCCGTGATAGAACACAGAGCAAACAATTCCAGCCTTGTCCACAGGGCACAGAAGGCCTCCCTGAAAGTGATGTCGGAAGCATGAGCAGGAGCTGGCTGGACAGGGGAGAAATCAGAGAAGGAAATTTCCCAATAAGTTTTTCCTTTTTGGAAAACAAGTATGACTACGGACTGTATAGAAAGAAGGGGGTAACTTGCCTTTCATGATTCCAGTGATGAGCCCTCTCATCACTGAGGTATGAGTGGTAGCTAGCTTAACGAGTTACCCATCTAAAAGGTATTTGCATTTTAAGAGTTGTTTGTTAGCCCAAGGGGCACATTTCTAAAGGTGGGATTTCAGTGGAAGAATGCAGGCCTCTTAGACTGGGGAGCAACGGCTGTTTAAATGGACTGTAAGGCAAGCACCCCTAACCGATACAAGGACAGAGAAATTTTCACAACCCAAATGGTGCTTAAAGCAGGGGGTGTTTTCTTTCGACAGGGCAATGCCTTCCAAGGCCCTCGGAAAGCAGATATCATGGCCAGAGAGAAGGTCACCGAGTTGATCCAACTCCAGGCAGAAAGGATTTTGGCCTTAAAGAGAGAGATTGCGCTTCTGCGGAAGAAAGACGCCCTAATCCTCCCACCTATTCGGTCTCCCCCAGAGGACTGATGAAGCCCTGGGCCTTCAATGTGTGCATTTCCCCCCTCAAATCCATCCAAATTCCTGACATAAAATTCAACAGAAGTTGTTTTGTCTCCCAAAACAATCCTGTTCTTTTAAAGTGAACTAACTTATCTAAAAGTCTAAAACCAGATCTGGTCACGCGGTGCCCAGCGTCTGTTGTCGAACTGAGACACTTTAGGTTTGTTTGGAACCAACCGGAGTGAATGTGCGCTCCCAGAAGGCTGTATCTCAAACTGCATCTTTAATACGTCCCATTTGAGAAAATTCGTGGGTTTGCTTTTTGGTTATCTAAATTTCCCATTGGCAAGAAAAACTGCCATAAAGAGCATTAGCCGGGTCACGTCTTTGCTGTTATTCAAAGGTGGTGGGCCAGAAGGGAGGTACAGCAGACCTGAAGGCTGCCGGCATTAGCTAAATGAAGACTGAGAGGAATAGCTCTGTCCCTCTCCTGGAAGCCACCACCCTCCGCCAGGTGTGTCTGAAGTCACATCTTACTTCTCATACCTGCTCCACTGCTCCTTTCTTATCATTTGCATGTTACTTATAGCCCTTCATTTTATTTCTTAAAATATTTTTCAAATATGGCTTTTCTGAATATTATGTTACGTCTTGAGTTTTTCCAATTTAGCTTTGGATAGAAAAAGGATTTAACAATCTACCAGCTGGCACTATTTCTTCTGGCCAACAGAGGGGGCACTTGTCCTAGACCACCAAGGCTGGGGCCTTCCTAGAATCTTGTTTATAAAACCGGAGACTTGAGAAGCCAGGCTCTGGCATGGCCTCTCAAATGGCATTTCATGGCTAACTCAACTCTACTGAAATTGAGGGATGCATTGCAAGCTTCGGCGTCTATCTAGTTCCAGGTATAAAGGATGGTACTGTATTGGACAGTACGCAGTAAGTGTTGATTTTAAACCACCAGGGAGTCAACTCTTTTGGTAATGCTGGTGTATCTTCAGAACAAAGTGAATTTTATCAGGCACCACATGTTCACGTGTAGCGTAACACCTAACTAAATGGAGAAAACACTTGGCCTTCAACACACACACACACACACACACCCTATAAAGAAATGATTAGTTTCATTCCTTTCATATGAACAGTTTGAACTTCAGTCCAGTCAGCAGGAGACCTGAGGGTCTGGCCCCCATTGCTTGCCACACACCGTCTCCCTCTTGGGCTGGACAGTGACGAATGACTTCCACATTAAGAGAAGCACAACTGACATTCAGTATTCACAAAGACAAAACATTAGTAACATCTGCTACCTTTTCCAGATCTCATCTCTGGATCTGCAGACGTCACAAGTGGATATTTTCTTCAGATGCTCCAAGTCTGACTCCTAAGGTCTAAGGGGAATGCTGACTCACACATGACTAAGCTGGAAGTTACAGGGAAGACTAAACATTTATTTAGATGTTACAGTGTTTGTTTTTACAGAGCTATGTTGCCACAGATTATTGATTCTGGAAGATTTGTTAATGCTTATAGTACTGTACACGTCTGAGTCTGTTCTCACGAGCATCTTCTGAAACGGTTCCCGCAGCACGGGACCTGGCTGTCTTCACAGGTGTCTCCGGCTCCGACACCACGGCCTTCGCTTTGCCCCACGGTCGGCACGAACGGGGTGCCTGGGCGTCTTCCCTTCCGCCACCTCAGTCTGGGTCCTGGCCAGTCTGTGCTCCTTGTTCCTGGCTGACTCCGGTGATGCCGTGGCTTCTTTGTGTTACCCCTTACACCTCCACGGGGAGGATTCCCTATGTCTTTCCAGAATTATAGAAACATATACATTTATTTACAAGTGCATAAATATATAAATATGGTTATTATAGAAAAATAAATACCAATTTTCTCTGTCTCTCTTAAAAAACAATAATAGTCTTTCTGGAATATTGCCTTCGGCCTAAATTGTGGGGGGTGGTGTTTCAAAAGTCACGTTCACTGGTGGGTTCGGGGAGAGCTGTCTCCCAAGCTCCTGTCCCGTGTAGGTCCCTGTGGGGTGCTGGGGACACCACTCTCCTCCACCCATTTGGCAAGATTCAGGACTGTCCACCTCTTCAACCGGTACAAGGCCCAAGCAGCATGGGGGCCCTGAGGGAAGAGGAAAGTGGGAAACATTAAAATCCAGACTGACCAAGAAACAAGGCCCAGAGGTGCTGGGTCCGTCTCCGTGCCGGGAGCCGGCTGCATTGATCCTGAAGGAGAGAGCGGCACCTGCAGCCCGACGAGGCCACCTCCGCTCCTTGTAAGATCTCTCACAGGCATGCGCGGCCACCCACACCTGTCAGTGGTGGGGCCACAGACACTCTCAAGCACCTGGCCTGTACCCTGGGGCACAGGAAGTCGGCTTAGCCCATAAGATGTGGAAGAAAGCCCTGCTCCTTCCAGATTTAGGCTGCTGGCCCACCCATCTGATGTGATTTCTGGTCACGATCGCCCCACTCGCAGTTCATCCCCCCCAGGTGAGGTAGTCCAGCTTCCGTGATGCTGGTCTGGCTCTAGGAGGTGAATTTCAACTCCTGGACATGGGGTTGAGGATCTGCCTGTGGGAACATCATCTAAGCCTCTGTACCATCCTGCACCCAACCAAGAACACACACTGATCCCCAAGACACTGGCACAAGGAGGACAGTGGGATGGGGTGGTGTGCACTGAGCCCCTTGGGGACAAATGTGCTCCGGAAGCATGGATGGTTTCGATGACACTTTGTAAGAGCTTGGCTCCTTAATGACTGATGTAACCTTAGTTCTTAATTAAGAGACAAGACCCAATGAAGCAAGGCATTTTGGAGTGATTAGGGAATACCTCTTATGATGAGAGGCAGTAGGAACTTGTGACTGACCTTGAAATCAGACCAAAGGACTTTTCTCTGAACGTGGAAAGTGTCCCTTTCCTTAGCTCTTGAGGACACAGCTTGCCATGTTGGAGAAGGACCCAACCGGTATGCCCCTGCACATCCTACTGCCCTTTCAGGTGGGGAGGGGGGCCTCTCCCAGGTACACGCTGTGGATACCTCCTTACCAAGCACCATCTTCACCGACTTATCTCCCCTTCCTCCGAGTCACTCCTGGGTTGGGGATGCACACCTCATGTTATCTCCAGCCTGTTCAATTTCCTGCCCTGCCCCTGGCACAGACCTGAGTGAAAAAGAGGGTCCCACGTTGCTTCCAGCGCAGGATTCTGGGGTACACTCTCCCTCCCTGACTGGCTGGCTGAAGCAGGCTGCTCCTGGAGGTGGTGGTGGTCCTGGTGGGTCTGGAGCAGCTGGTGAGTGGAGTTGTCAGGCAGTGTATATAAGAAAGCGACCTCTTCTGGCTTAGCTTTGGTTCCCCTGCACACAAGAGACCAAACGGGAGGTGAGGTGTGGGCAGGGGGGCCCATGTCCCCACCGCCCGGCTGCTTCCCTGTCTGAGAGCACCGGACAAGGGAAGAGCTCCAACAGCAGGGTCTGCTCCCCGTTGAGCTGCCACACCATCTCCATGGGTAGTTCTAGTCTGTCTCCATCATGTTCTGTGCCAGCCTTAGTGTATTAGAGAATGTGGAGTTGGATGTCCAGAGCCCTCTGGGCAAAGCCAGCAGTATGACGCTGCTCTGGCCTGCCAGGTGAGGGGAGGATTCTGAGAGGCCAGCCCACAGTCCAGAGCAGAAAGGGCACTGTAAGGGCAAACGCAACAACTGCCCATTGGACAAGAGCCCAGTGGAGCAGGCTGTCAGGTGTGGGGTCCCCTGAGTGAAGCGCTGGTCCCCACCTCTCAGTGGCTGACATGGAAGTTGGGAGTCTAAAGAGGAAGCGAGTGCGCTCTGGGACTTGCGAGTGGAAGGCGGGGATGGGGAGGGGCTGGTTACCTAGGAATCTGGTGACTGTGGATGTCGTATCCGTATCCGTTGCCAGGAATGGTGTGCCTTGGGAGGCCACTGGAGTCATCCTCCTGCTCGAAAGAAGCAATAAAGGAAAGGTCTTGTCAGAGGGTCCAGGAAACTTCCCCATTCATTCTTTAACCAGAAGAGCTGTTTCTGACTAGAGAAAGCCTCGCCAGCAGCCCCGCCCTCCTCCACGGGGGCTGATGCCTGCCCGCCCCCACACCTGGCCCGTTACCTGCTGGTGCTCTGCAGGGCAGGGCTGCAGCGGTTTCGTGCCAGGGTAGCCCGTGGCAGCGGCAGGGAAGCCCCTGTTCACATGTACCCCATTGGCACAGGCCTGTCCATTGGCGCCACTGAGGCAGGGCTGCCCGCCGGCTCGATGACCTGGAGGCCCTCCCAGTGGTACCATAGTGTATTGGCAGGAGGAGGGCAGAAGCGCACTTCGAGGAAAACCCAGGTCTGCTGTGTGTTCTGGAAGGACAGGAGGATAGATATCTGCTTAGGCCAAGGAGGCCTGGGCAGCCTGAGAAAGTCCCACCTGAATCTCAGAAAACGCCTGACCATGGGGTCAAATGAGGTAGGCAGGGAGTTGGGTTGGCACCCCCCTAGGGATGAGGATATTCTCCCTCAGAATATTCTTCCTGTCACCCATTTTTTCCTGACATCCTAACTTTATTTACTTTTTTAGTGGGGATAAGTGTGAGGAGATACAGTGACAAGGGTTTACAGGAAGTTGCTGGTGAGCAAACAGAAGGAGCAATATTTAGGCGAGGCACGTTGACTAGGTGTGTTGCCATCTGAAGCAGAAATTAGTGGGTAGCAGGCAGGGTAACTTGGGATAAGAGGCCGAAAGTGTTTGGAGGAAAGAGGCAGGAAAGTATGAGTGTGCAGTCAGAGCAGCAGCTTCAGACGCTAAAAGGAACAGGACCCAGCTAAGTCCTGAGAGCCTGAGATACGGAGAGGACAAACTCTTGCATCTTCATGCTCCTCCACCTGTCAAGGCCCATGAGCTGGGAGGAAAGGGCCCAGTCTTGGGGTATTCTCTGACTCTCTGCGAGCCCTCTGGGGGACTCAGGAACTTGAGGTCCAGTGAGTGGGAAGTGGGGAACCTCTGATCCTGCCCTGGGGAGAGGCTGTCCAGGAGGGCTGGGGGCCTCCCCCACCCCCAGGCTCCTTCCACTTGGTGTGGAGGAGCGTCTCTCACTCACTTTGCTTAGACCAGGCCCTCCACAAGCAGAAGGGGATGAAGGCAACAATTATGAGGACGACAGATCCCAGGACGACCCCGACAATCAGGTAGGGCAGGTCGCTGGAGCGTGCCACCATGGCCCCCGTGCCCACTGGCCGCTCCATGGTTTCCAGGGGTGGCGGCTGAGGTGGGGCCAGAGTCGGGGGTGGGAGTCCACCAGGCTGACCGGACTTCCGGGCTGCAATTGTGAACACAACTCACATCAGTATCTACGCCTTTGGCATTTCTTTCGCAACAAATAAAAAATATCCTAGCCCTGGCTGGCGTAGCTCAGTGGATTGAGCGCGGGCTGGGAACCAAAGTGTCCCAGGTTCGATTCCCAGCCAGGGTACATTCCTGGGTTGCAGGCCATAACCCCCAGCAACCACACATTGATGTTTCTCTCTCTCTCTATCTCACTTCCCTCTCTAAAAATAAATAAATAAAATATTTAAAAAAAATATCCTGATTCCATGGGTGTAGGAAATAGGGTCAAACTCACAAGACAGGGCCTCAAAACCCTTTATTAGGTAAATGAAATTTGGTATTACTGAGAGGATTGAACCTTATATTTCAAAATATAATCTGAGATATTTGCGAGCCAAGCACCAGAAATGTTGTGGGGATTTTCTGAAAGAAGAGCTGGTGACCTTTAGGAAGAAAATATTTTAAAGATGCATGGAGCCAGCAAAAAAACTGGGAATGGAAGGATTTACCCAGGCATGTGCTCTTCCTGGGCAGATTAACAGACGTGAAATACTGGGTATGAGCCCCAGTCACACAGCTGGAAGACAGGTGTGTGGGGCGGGACTCCCTGAGACAGATGGTCCTTGTGAAACGCTAATTCAAAGGTGACAGGTTAAGAGGCAGACTCCTCGTGGCGGGGCGGGGGGGGGGGGGTTGCTGTTATCCAGGTGCATCTGACTGTGTTAACTCCTCTTCGCTGTCATCTTCCCCTTGACTTTCTGATACTGCAGGCGACCCCCGGCCTCTCTGCTGCCGCTTCTAACATTTCTCTTTTCCCGCCCTTGCTTTTCTGGCTTCTCCTCAGGTGCTGAGAGGTCTTCCTGGTCCCTCTCAGTAGACTTTCGGTACCCTCATCTCTGCTCATGATTTCCGCCTGATGACCGCTGCATCCCCACACCCACAGCCTGCCCCCAGGCTGGAGACGGGTGGCTTCTCTTGTGGGACACTTGCATTTCACTGTCTCAGGAGACTCAGACTCAGTAAGTCTCCAAGGGGTTTCACCTTGTTCCTTTCTGGTAGGATATGGTTCTCTCCCAGCCTTCCCCATGTCAATAAACGGCAATGTTACCTGTGTGTTACTTTAATCTAGAAACCTTAAGGCTTACTCTGAGTTCCTTGCCCTCTCTCCCCGCCCCGACATGCTGTCAGTCCCTGGCCCTGTGCACGCTTCCGCAGAAAGGAGATCCAGACCTGTCCCCTCTCTTTGCCTTTACTTCACACCCCATTCTCTCCCCTCAGGCCGTGCCTGCAGAGTCACCAGTGACCCTTCTCAACAAACCAATCCAACAGTGACCCTCCCTGTCACAGCCCACAGGGTCTGCGATGACCCAGTGCCCGCCAGCTTCCCTGAGTGTTCTGCTCTCGTCTCCTTCCAGGCTCCATAAACTTTAGCCATCTGGAGTTACCCGTAAGTATGTCCAGTCCCCCAGGCCACCTCCTCCTCAGTGCCCCTGAAGAGTCAGTCCTTCCAGAAGACCAGTGTGAACCTCTTGGGAAGTCTCTGTTCTTCGCCCTGGGCACTCTGGGGGTCACCTGATACCGGATTTTTGGCTGTGGATGTACCTGGCCCCTCACTTCACTGTGCGTGAGAGAAGGGGGCAGGGAGAGCCCACGGCAGGCGCTCCCGTTTGTTGAACACTGATGGGAAGCAGTGCAGAGCTGGGGAAAGAGTGTGGCTGATGACGGGAAGAGGGGTTGTTTTCTTGTCTCTATTCCTATTCTTTGCTGATCTCCTGTTTTTGTTCTCTGCAATACGCCTACTTTATATGCCTTGAGTAATTGCAAAATGGAGATAATATCTATCCACTTGGCTGATGTGAAAATATTAACAAGTTATTATGTGAATATGTTTACCATGTTTTAATGCAGAACAGTCTGGGCTTGTCGTCAGACGAACTCGGCCCACAGTGCGCCCTACTGCTAACTGGCTGCACGATGTCAGACGAGCATACGGTTTCCCTTCCTGTCTCACAGAGTTGTAGTCAAATTAAGTAAAACAATGAATGTAAGCATCAAATGTTACAGTAATAAGGTGTTTATAGAAAGTTCCCAACCAAGAATGGGTTCCATTCCATGAGTTCCTGTAGGAGTTAGTTCCCAGGTTCCTTGTAGCCAGCCATTCGTACTTAATATGAGGCACACACAGATGAAGGGTTAAAAGGAAAAAGTTTAGGGGTCCTTGTAAAATAAGGAGTCTTTCTGAGGTAGAGATACCCAGCAAGGCACGTGGAATGTTGACATTGTCCCTGGCTGCTGAAAAGTTCGAGAGGAAGGCAGAGAACCCAGAGACTCACCTTTGGTTTCGCAGATCATCACATTGCTGAACTCGCTCTCGCCTCCTTCGTTAAAGCACTGCATCTTAATGTCGTAGGAGGTCTCTGGCTGCAGGTGGCTGATTGAGTGCCAATATCTGTCCCCTGGAAGAGAGAGTAAGGGAGCTGCATGTGAGAATGTGCACCTGCTTTGCAGTGGCAGTGAGACTCGGACAGGCTGTGCACTGGAGCTGGTGCCGCGGGCGCAGGAGGCGGAAGAATGTTGGAGAAAATGTTCTGGGTTCCCACCCATGTTCCTGCTGTCCCATCACCATGGGAAGGAGCTGTGTGGATTTGTCAATTTGCACTTGATGACCCCAGCGTGGCAGGGAAGAGCCAGTGATACGGGGCACAGATGCTGTGTGTCACATCAGCCCAGGTTTTATGTTTTTAGCTCACCGACAGTGAGACCCCTTTGCCAACGAAGGAAACTACATCACACGAAAGCATTTCTCACCTTCCACCATGTCCTTCTTGTAGTCGCTATCGTTGTCACTGTCTGTGGGTCGGTAATAGATATAAAAGCCATGGATCGGGGTGTTGTTGTTACTTGCTGGGATATACTGTGGGGAACGGAGCAGAGAAATCACCACGTGAGCGCAACCACTGGGGGGCCTGGCGGACCTTCCTGCTGATATCCCCAGTGCTCTCTGGAGAATCCCATGGGGCACTCTCATTTCATTTAGCCCAGAGGCCCCCCAGCCTTTGGAGACAAGAAACAAACTGCCACTTCCCCAGAAAGTTAAGTCCCCTTTGAACCTGCCCAGGGAGGATGACAGACAGACAGACACATTAAGGGAGGTATTGAGAAGAAAGGCTGAGGAAGAAGAGTGGTTCCTTCCTGCCCAGAGCGAAGCCCAGTCCCTCTCCCACTGTGGTCTGTGCCAGGCCGCTCACCATCCACTTGAGCATGATGGTGGTCTCGTTGACGGCATCGGTGAAGGTGATGTAAGGGCCCGCCACGGGCCTCTCGTACATGCGGCCACTGTAGCCTGACACCACGTATGGCTGGGAGGGGGCGCTGGGCTCGCTCTCCCCCAGCATGTTCAGAGCCCGGACTCGGAACTTGTAGGAGGTGCCTAGTGAGAGAGACACTCGTTGAACCCAGGAGCTGGGGAACACCTGACTTTCAGGCCCTGGACTTGGAGGGATCATCTGGGCAGCCCTTCCCCAAAAGAAAGCCCCGAAGGACTCACGAGAACCCCCGCCCTCATCAGAAAGGAGCCACACAGGAGATGGCTCTGGGCCTCCTAGGGAGGGAGGGAGGAGGGCTGGTGGGACTGAGGTGACACCACCCAGAACATCCATAGGAGCCTAGCAGCAGGTGGAGGCTGAGCAGTGAGAAAAACCTCCAAAGCTCCCACTCTCCTCTAGGTGGCCAGGGGCCAGTGTGGGGGTGGGGGCATGGGGACGAGGACAGCAGGTAGATGGCCAGGCCCCTACCTTTCTCTAGGCCTGTGATCTCCACGGAGAGCCGGGAGGGCGGGATGGCGCTGGTGGCTAGGATCCAGTCCCCCACTTTCTTTAGCCTCTTGTACTCCACACGGAAGGACTGGATCGGGAAGCCCCCATTCCCACGGGGAATCCAGGTCACGTACACTGATGTCTCAGAGGCCATGGAGATAGTGGGCCTGTCTGGAGCTTCAGGGGCTGGGGGAGACGACACATAAGGGAGGGAAGGAGCAAGAGGAAGATGCAATGAGAAAATGGTTGTTGCAAATGGACTTGGCCTGCTCCTGATAGGAGCCTGATCTTCCCTACAGCCCTCTCCACCCCTGGTGTCTGCACTGGATCTTCCTAGGGTTACCTGGATGGCCCTCTGAGAGCTATCCTTCAGCAGTGTCGGAATATGAAGGAGCCAAGGGCCACCTGCTCCCCCCTCCACAGTCTCTGGACCCACAGGGCCAGAACCCCAGTATTGGTCTCCAGTGTTTTATTTGACAAGCTCCAATCTCTGCTTCTTCATTGTGGTTACCTGGGGAGATGCCAGGAAAATGTCATAAGGACTCCCAGACCCACAGAACCAAGAACCCGTTCAACCTTCAGCAATGAGGCCTGAGGCAGTGGACCTGGTTCCAGTTATGACCACTCATTGCTCCTACCCCTGTGGGTTGCTGGGGGCTTACGGGACAGGCGGCCGTGGTCTGGCTGGCTGCTGCTTTGGGGGCTGGCTCCAGGGTCATCTCTTTGGATCTGCTGCTCCTTGTTGGCCATGATTTCAGGTTTGGGCCGCCGTCCTGGGTAGAAATGGGTTGCAATCAGTAGAGGAGTGTGCATCAGGTCTCCCTTCCCACAGAGCCCTTCCTGCCTGAGGCTCTGCCACAGGGTCTGACAAAGAGATTCAAGCAGCCCAGGGCACTGAAGTCTTGTCTAGTTCTCAGCTCTGCCTGAGTGTCCGGCACTGCACCTGGCCCCTGAGTGCAAGAGGGACAAAGGGATACCAGAGAGGCTGGCTGGTGGCTCTCCTGCCGAGAGGTATAAGCTTGGCCTGGGCACAGGAGCCACAGGGAGGCCGGAGCTGGAAGGCAGGTGACCAGATGGGGCAAGGTGAGCAAGACTTTCCACCTGGGCCTGGTAGGATTTTCTCAGGCCCATGGAAACCCCAAGCTGAGGGCAACACTTGACCCTTACCAGTTCGGAAGGTGACCATGGCTGTCTGGCCTTCTCCTGCACAGTTATAAGCTGCCATCTCCACTTCATATAAGCTCCCAGGGTCAAGTCTGCTGAGGGTCAGGCGGTGCTGATTGGCTGGAATGTCAGAGATGGTCCAATCATCAGAGGAGTTTGTGACCTGCTGGAGAAGATGGCTTGTGTAAGGACCAGCATCTCAGCCTGGAGCTACAGGAGGGCTGTGGTTTGCAAGGGAATCGAGACCTGAGGCCCAAGGGTGCGGGCGGGGAAGGGGGGAGTGGGCCCAGTTGGGAGCATGTGGGGGGGGGGTGCCAACCAGCCCTGCCGGCTCTGGGGCGGCAAAGCCAGGCTCCCTGGTCTCCCATCTGGTGATCCCATCAAAGGGAGCCCAGTGGGGCGGGTCGGAAGGCCCAACTCAGACCGCTGAGAATTTCCCCAAAGACCTCCTCTCTCTTTCTGAAAAACTCCATATTTAACTTTCTTTCTCCTTACTCTGTGTAAACCAAACACAGTTCCTTCCGTTTCTGCTGTAACGGGAAGATGATGAGAATGATGGGAACAGTAGCGGTGCCGGCAGAAAAGGCCGCATTCGCCACGTGTTCACTGCGTGCCCGGGCCTGGGACCGGAGGCTTCACATGTGCTACGACAGCAGCCCGAGAGAGGGATGTGTGATCTGCCGACGGCCGCACACTAGTGAGCAGAGAAACCATGAGCACAAGCTCGTAATCTTAACCTACTTAGAAAGGACAACAATCTGGGAGCCACAGAATCTCAGGTCCAGTCCTGGTTGGGTCTCTCACAAGCTGTGTAACAGAAGCAAGTCCCCTAACCTCGCCAATCCCCAAGCCTTTCCTTTATAAAATGAGGCAAATAAAATCTCTCAGATTCTTCTGAAATTAGGTGATTTAGGTAAAGAGTCACGCTCTGGACAGAGGTTTGAACAGCAGTTTGCCGCAGATGCCTGGCCCCCTCCTGATGCCCCACACCCTCCGCTCAGTGAGGCGCCTGACATTTCAGTCCCCTTTTTCTGCTCCTGCCCTCAGTCCTTGCTTAGAACTTAAAAACTGTGGATGAGTTGTAATGATTATGGATTAATATTAATGGCTTCAAATTCCTAGCTCTTTAAAGAAAAAAAGGAACTCCAGGCTCCTCAAAAGGCGACGCCCAGAGGCTGCTCCTCTCACCAACCCCACCTTTCAGGAGAAAACACTTAACTGCCAACTGTGCATGTCTCAGAGAGCCTGCTGGGGCCTGAGGCTGTGGTTTGCTGGAGGAATTCAACAGCTGGTAGGAACGCTCTTAGTCCCAAGCAGAATATTCCAAAGTAGAACAAAACCTGCTATTCAAGGGACAGGGATGGTCTGGGCTCACTAATGTCCGGCTTCCAGGATTTGTCCCAAGGGGAGAAGAATTTACAAACTGAGAGTCCCCAGCGGTGCTGGAAACCCAAACACAGTAGCCCGGAGTCTGCAGATGCACCAGGAAATGAAACTTGCTTCGTGGCGCAAAAAAGTGAAACGAGCTGAATGATTCCCAGACTCTAGCAAGAGAGGAAGGCTGAAAAAACACAACCCAAATGCTGATATTTTTTAATTCCCGAAGTCTTTCTGATGTGATGATCCTTAAGACATGGTGGTCCCTGAAGGAACTGCTTTCAAGGCACAATTTCTGCCGTGGCAATGCCCACCTACCAGCTCGGAATACCCCTGGGGCCGGGGCCTGCCAGCAGCCAGAACCAGCGGGGGCACTGTCCTCTCGCTCTCCCATGCCCCTTCTCCCTCGGCCCACCCAGAGCCAGCCTCACCCCTGCACCGGGATCAGAAAAGAAAATAAGAAATGGACCGGTAATTAGTCACTGTCACACACGCCGAGAGGGCGAGAGTGGCCTCAGCCTGGCATTTCCGGATCACCACGCACGGCCTTTGCCAGCTTGCCTCTTGGTGAGGCCCTTTCACAGCCACCTCTTGGTCTGAAAAATATTATTCTTGCTCTCATGCTGGTTCTTATCTCCCAGGGACTGTGAGCATCTGGCCTGCCCTGATCTTTGTCTACAACTCTGAGGTGGAGGTGTCCAGTTACATGGGGAAATGAGGATCAGGACCAGCCTGGCCCCATAAGCAGGGCTGAACAATGCTGCTTTTTGTTAAAAACTTATTCTCCCCTGTCTCTGGCTGGCTGTAAAGAGGCCGACAGGCTGAGCGTTAATAAGAAACTGCCCTGCCCTGGCCCCCACCTAGGTGGCAGCTTTGCCCTAGGTGTCTTTTTGACAACCTCGGCGCCTCTGTGGACTTGTCCTGACCCAGGGTCTCTGTGCACAGCACGTACAGGGCGAGGGTGGGAGGAGCGGGGCCACCGGCTCCAGAGCAGGGCAGACGGCTTCTGCACAGCCAGCACTTTCCACCGTGGTTTTTGTTTGTGTTTTTTTTGGAGGGAAAGAAGAGTTGATAAATAGTTTTAGTTCCACGTGTATATATTTTCCAAATTTTCCTCCAGGTGCACATAGCACTTTTACAAGCAAAACTATGAGTGCATAATAAAGTCTAGCATTACAATACATTATTACTCATCAAATAAGATTTTTAAAAGTCCATTTGAGAGCAGTAATTGTCTACTGTCTAACGACCTGAGCAAGAAAACCGCATGCACCTGGGGTGAGCGGAAACACTTTCCAAGGGCATTTTCTCGAGGGAATTTCAGGATAACGGCAGTGAGAACGAAGCCTTGAACGGGGGTCACAGCCTGCAGGCCCCTTCCTGCTTCGCAGGACACAGTGTCCAAGAGGACCGGCTGGCTTGGCTGCGTCCCGCACCGGTCAGTGCCAGACAGTCCTCCCCTGACGGCTCCCAAAACACTCACTCGGACAGAGTCCCTTCTGTCGAGGCCTCAACAGCACGATGGGCTTTCACCTCAAATGCCTGCTCGTCAGACACGAGCCACGGTGAATCCTGAGAACTGAGGGGTCTGTTACGGCTCTCAGAGAAAATAGTTCTTCACAAATATTTGTTTTCCTGGCTCTAAAGCTAGCTTGCCATGCCAGAGTTCATGCAGGTATATATCCAGCAGGACTTTGTTGGGTTAAAAAACAAAACAACATCAACAACAAAAGAGAGAGGGAAGGTGGGGGATGGGTGACAGGTAAGAGGGAAACCGTTCACTCTCCTGTGGGACCAGGAGCTGGTGCTGTGAGTTTCTGGGAAGCCTGTGCATGAAGCGCAGACCTGAAGGCACATGCTCAGCTTTTTCCTTAACACAGCCATCTTCCTGGGAGGTGGCAGGAAAGTGCACAGGAGATGGAAGGTCACGATCAGCAGCGGAGACTGGGGGGTCCAGGCTGCAGGAGCTCAAGGGGAGACAGCAGCAGACAGAGACTTCCGCCCAGCCTGAGAGGAAGTGGGCACAACGCCAGACCCCATACCTTGCGGTATTTCACCACGTAGGAGAGGATCGGTGCCCGGCTGCCACCCTCGTGCCGAGGCCGCCACACTAGCTCGTAAGAGTCGGTCTTGGAAGTCCGGGGTGAGCTGAGGATGATGGGTGCCTCAGCGGGAGCCGCCTGCCCCTTCTCTCCAGAGCACCGCAGGGAAGCTGGCTGCACTGACGCTGGAGGCCTCGGGACACCTGAGTGCGCCCTCAGCATCTGGTCTGGGCTTCTGGGCCTCGGGGGTGGCAGGGGAGGTGTGGTAGTGTCCGGTTTAGCATCCCGCCATGGCCTCGGGGTTGTGCCTGGAAGCAGGAAAGAAAAGGAGGGAACAGGGTGTTTGTCGCCCTGATCACCTGCTGAGCTGTTGCCCCCATAGATAAAAAAGTCATAGAGAGACCTAACATGACCATCAGCCCACTTAACAGGCTCTGTAGGAAGAGAGGGAGTCATGGCCCCACCCACAGTGGGCAAAGGCAGCCTGGTGTCCCTCGCCCAGGCTTCCTGCTGTGGCCGGGCGGGGCAGGCCAGCGTCTCTGCAACCTGCCTGCTTCGCTGAGCCCACCCACTAGCCCCGTCTAAAGTGAACTACCTCAATTTGCTCCTGAGGCACAGGAGCGCTGCACCCTCTTTCTCTTGTCTAATACTGTGTGCATGCCCTTCACTGCAGGATCTTGGTGGAGGGGCACAACATGGGTCTCTTGCCACTCCACCGCAGTGGCCTGGAAACATGCGGTGGGAGGCCCCCCGTAAATGCCCTCTGAGAATCTGAGAAGCCAGGAGAGGCCACACTTCCTTCAGAAACCCTCCACAGACCCTGCCTGCACTGGTTTTCCCTCTGCCTGACCACCAGCACCATGGGAGGTTGGCATCTGATAATGTTGATTCAGCATTTCATTGTGTGTTGTCGTTTTCAAATTGCTTCCTTGGTAAGTTTTATCTCCTCCACGTGAAAATTCTTGGGGGTCAGTTCCTTGTTATGTTTCCCTGCATTCCCCGGGTTTCCCAGCCCAGTGCCGGGCGCACAGTGACTGACTGCTCAGTCAGCACAGGCACTGCTGCAGTGAATCAGCTGAAGGCACACCTGCTTTCCTTTACTCCAGAGCAGTGGTTGCCAGACTGGGTTTCATGGAACATGAAATTTAGAAAGGTTTTTTTAAACTAGAATAAAACAGTTAAATGGGTTATTTTCACTAGCAAAATCTGCGTCTGACTTTTTAATAAGTTAATATAAATTTGAACTTACAACTAAAAGCCACTTCATTTTGTTTTATATATTGGGGTTCTATTTCGGATTTGGGAGAAGGGTTCTGTGCCTACCCCACCCAACTCCCAGCCATTGCGTTGCACTCACTGGGCCTGGCGGTCCTCAGCTGGACCACAGCGTGGGCGCTCCCAACTTCATTCTCGGCCATGCACTGGTAGACACCTTCATCCTCAGGCCCCACGCTGACCACTCGCAGGGCCCTACGGGACAGTCGGAGGCGCTGGCTGGAGGTGAGGGGCACGGCATTCCTCAACCACAGCACTGAGGGCGGGGGGTTCCCGCGCACCTCACAGGTGAGCTTGGCACTCTGGCCCCAAGGGATGACCAGCTGGGACAGCTCCACAGTGACCTCAGGGGGTTCTGCCAGGAAACCAGAGGAGGAGATTGAGAGGCTAAGTCTCCCTGTCCACACCCAGTCAGGTTGGGGAAAGGAATGCAGGCCTGAAAGGCTCTTCCTTTCCCTGTAGCTGCTGATAGAGGAAAGGAAAGGTCCCAGGTGTCCTTCATCAGAGCCATGACAGGAAAGGGCAGAAAGCAGGCTGCCAGGCCCCTATACCCTGTCCCTGGGATCCGAGGAGCTCCACCTCTCTCAGTGCTCCTCTGTCACGCACTGGGGATGTGACCATTCAGAAAATGTACATAGCCCTGAGCCTGAGATTATGAGTTTCCAAAAGGGCCATGAAGACCAAAGAGAAGGTCAAGGAGAGGAAGGTCTACAGAGACACTCACCAAACACCTGGACATTGTAGAGGATGACCGCTGCCCCAGGCTCCCCCACCCCATTGTCAGCCATGCAGCGGTAGGTCCCGGAGTCCTCCTCGCTAGTGGTGTCGATAAGCAGGTTGCTTAGCAGGAAGCGTGTCTTGTTATAGCCCGCAACACTGGACCCATCCTTGGCCCAGGTAACCCTCGGGGGTGGAATTCCACCGGCCACGCACTCCAGGATGAGACTCTGGCCTTTGGTGACGATGATGGTCTGGGCCTCTGGGGGGTAGATGATGCGGGCAGCCTCGGCAGTGGAGCCTAGAGGGGTGAGGTGGGAAAGGACTGCCTGTGGGACCAGGACTTGGTGTAGCAAATCCCTTCTGTGCCACCTTGGGCAGCCCGGTCCCAGGAGGCAGTCCCAGAGGTCATGGATTTAGAATCAAAGAGCCTTCAGGAGCTTACGACCTACGTAAAGTGGGGCAAGTAACTTAACTCCCTTGGGTCTTGGTTTTCTTATGGGAAGCATCGTGAACAAAACATACATATGGGTAACTGTACATTGGCAGAGAGACAGATAAAGGCAGTGGATGGAGGAACAACTCAAATGGTGACGGTGATTTTTCTTGCTTGCACTAAGTGAATGCTAAGACTGAGGATGAGATGGGATACAGGGAACCACAGTGGCCTTCAAACCCTAATCATGGGTCACAGTGCCCAAGTGTCTCAAGTGAGGTATCACAGTACCTCAACGTGAGCATCTTGCTGAGCTGAGCAGGATCTATGGTTTAAAAATATGCATTTCTCATATCTCAAAGCCCCCCAAACTAATCAACTATTAGTACTTCATTAGGTTCTTAGCTGAGGAAGCTGCAATCTTTTTTCAACGCTGGGGAGAGACCGGGTAGAACTTATTGAAAGGCATGTTTCTCTTCAATGTGCCACCTTCCTTGGGAAACTTCAAGAAGCACATTGACTATGTGTGATTTTTGCTTTATGTGCCAACCAGGGACAGATAAGGTTTTATAAGACCTGAAGCTCACACAGCTTGGGTGGCCCTCTTTCAGAAAAAGAATACAAAATTATTGATAAAAAATTAGGTGAGTGAGGAACCACTGAAATTTTGCCTCATTATCTGCTACTGGTACCAACTCCAAAATCTAGTAATTCCATTTCAAGATGTCACAACGCCAAATACACAGAGAGTCTAGGACAGAGCCTGGCGCATGGAACAAGCTCAGCAAAGGGAGCTGTTTTTATACAATGGGGACATGTGTGGGCCCCCACAGATTTTTAACACAGGGAGGTGTTGGGCAAACTTCAGCAGTGCAGACTGGCGGCCTCAATGTGGGCACAAATGCACCATCGTCTTTCCTATGCATTGGCTGGCAACTGCTGAGAGCCAGACTGTCCTGCCCCAGCCCACTCATCCCGACCCCCATCCTCTCAAGGTTACCCAAGGAAGAAGAGCTCTCAACTCTTCTACTTGAGTGAGAAGTAGCTCTACTCACAGCTCTAGTGAGTGACTCGGAAGCACAGCCTCCCGGTGAGCCAAGCCCAAGGGCAGTGGATTGTGAAAGCTTGGCGTTTGGGTGGGGTGGGGTGGGGTGCCCCCATTCCGTGGAGAGCATAGAGCTGGAGCACAGAGCTGGGGAACAAGCTGTGGCACCTCAGACCCCGCCCCCCAGCAGGGAGACCCCGCCCCTTACGGCGCACACGCAGTCTGTCACTGGAGCCCGAGGTTTTCACTTCTTGGGTCACTGGGTTGTAGGCGGCGCACTTGTACGTCCCCTCGTCCTCCCTGCTGGCGTTTACTATCTGGAGGTTCCCGGATGGCATGATCAGGTAATTATCTGAGGAAAGAGCAGGGGAAGGGAGCATGGGCCTAAAATACTACAGCCATAGCTCCCACAAAGTTGTGGGGAGGGGACAGGTAGGACAGGACCCAGGAGCTGTGCACCTGAGTCTCAGCAAGCCCACCCTGGAAATGCAATTCTCCCCATAAGACCTCGCTCCCCATGGGACAGAAGCACCAGGTAGCTGACTGGCTGACTCCCTCGGAGTTAGTGCCCAGGTTTGTGGAGGAGCATTTTATATTTTCAAGGAAGCTGGTAGGGTGAAAGGTAGCAGGATTTGGGGTCCACCAGTCCTAGACTCAAATTTCAAATGGTGTAATGTGTGCTGCCTCAGCCATTGTAAGGATCGAGGGGCCCACGCTGCATATGCGGCAATGACATGAGATGATCATCCCCACAAGCCAACACTAGGGAGGGGAGCTGACTTTTAGAACTTCCCATCAGTCTCTGTCACAGTCACAGCTTTGAGCCACCTGACTGCTGAATTTCTGCAACCAGGGAGGAAATATTCTGACTCCCAACTACCACCCTCTGTGAAGGCCACTGAAGCTCTTCCTTCTGTGTCACTGGCCTACTAGGCTGTGTCTGCTTCTGGGCCAGGGGTTCCAGGGAGTGGGGCTTCGGGGCTATGGCCAGCTTCTTTCCACAGGAGACAGATTCACACTGCTGGATACACCAGTGACTGGAACAGAGTTCAGCTTCCTGGCAGGCAAACTGCTGGCGCTCAGCTCTGAGCTTTCTGCTGGCTTGTCCTGAGAGTGGTGGTGTCCTGGCACTTGGGATTTGCTAAGCCTGGTGCCTGCCTGTCCCTGGGTGTGAACTTAGGCAAATGCCAGACAGAATGGGAAAGCCATTGACCCTTGTGGGATGCACAGGCTTTCTCTAGAGGCTTACTCCAGGCTTCTGCTGGGAACAGTAGAGATCAATGCTGTTTTCTCAGTCTCCAGTTGTTTCTGAGGAGCGGGATTAGGGCTTTTACACTTTCAAAAATTAGTTTCATGTATTTTCTATAGTGAACATATACTCCTTGCTTAACCAGAAAAAGTTAATAAAAGTATTTAAAAGCTCATAGGCCATTTCAAAGGTATATATTTTGAGCTGTGGGGTTCAGTCAGTAGGGCCTACTTGGCCTTGAGTGCAGGTCAGTTCTGGATGGAACATCCTGTCTCACTGCCGGCATTCTGTGGACCAGAGCTCGGCCTCCCCCAGGTGGCTGCGTAACCAGGAAAATGGGAAGAGGGAAAACTAAAGTTCCACTGAAAAGATTGCTCTACTGTGTGGGGACGAGCTCTACCCCCAACTCTGCAGCTATTGGAACAGGTTTGCCGGGCAGCCTTTCTGCTTTTGCCTGGTGGCCGGGAGCTCACGTGGGGAGGAAATCTGGAGCCCTATGCTGACAACCCCGATCATATAGCAGCAGCTCTGCAACAGCTTCCAGGGCCTCAAAGGGTAAAGAAATTCCTCGTGACTAGGCAGAAGACCTTCATGAAAGAGGCTAATCCCTTTACGGTCCTCCAGGGATACATATCAAGGTTGAAGGCAGAGGACCGGCATGAGGAGGGATCTATCAGGTGTTGATAGGGGTTTGGGGAGCAGAGGTCAGGGGCCACAGCTTCCCTCCTGGCCTTGGTCGCTGGGTTTTTGCTTGCTCACCTCTGGATGCCTCCAGCCACTCTTGTTTGACACTGTACCGGACCTGGGCTTTTGGGTGGCTCTCAGGAAGGTGGCAAGCGATGACCGCCGTGTTCCCCTCATCTACTTCGATCACGTGCTGCACGTCTAACTTGAAGTCCTGGAGATCTGTGGAGAGAAGCGAAGGTGCCGGTTGGGCCTCAATGGAGGAAACACGCGATGTTTCAGGGGGGCTCATGTTTTGGAGCCTTTTGTCACAACACACAGCTGCAGAACCTCCCTCACAGGGGGCTCTCTGGGGGTTCTCCAAACCCTTCCTCTAGCCTTTTGTTGTCCACGGCAGTTTTTAAAGGATGGAATGTGTGGCCCTCCATACTGCATGGGAGTTCAACTTGGTATATATAAGCTGCAGGGTGGGGGTGGACGCAGAGAATTCTATCTGGAGATGTCTGTGAAGCAGACCAGCCTTTTTTGTTACACTGAGACCTGGGGACAAGTTCACCAGGCCCACTACAAAACCTGGTCAAGGTCAAGGCACAAACGTCCTAGCACAGCCCAGCTAATGGAGACAGAAAGGAAAAATAAAAGAGAATGCTGATGATGTCTTCCGCAGTCCAATCGAGAACAGCCTTTCCTGGTTCTGCTCAGGTATCCACAGTGAAGAGCCGCAGGCCCAGGATTTTGCTCAGTTATCAACCGTGGTTATGACCAGAGGTGATTCCGCTACGCGGGGGCTACACTCTGCGTCATGGCTAATCCTTCTCAGGGCTGTGCTGGGGATCTGAGGATGCCAGATAGGTTTTCTAAGGCAAAGAGGGCACTCCTCTTTGGTGTGGCTTAATGGCAGGGGTCTAGGGGAGGCCAAGGATCCTGACAGCAGGCTGCAGCCCTGGCAGCACAGTGGCCGTCCTGGCAAGGTGGCAAGAAGACTGGGATCTAAACTGAGGGAAGATGGAGATCCATCTGGAATAAGAGCAAGATGCTTCCCAACCAATCCAACAGTCCAAACTACAAAACTCTCTTTGTAGGAGGTGAGTCACTGATACTGAGGAACAGAATGGGCCATTTGTGCAACAAAACCAGAGTAAGGTAAAGAGAGGTGAAAATATTTACCTAGACTCTCTCTTCATAATGGTACTTCGAAAATACCCTAGAGGCTCCCTCACTGTGTGCTGTCCACACCAAATTCTGCTCAGCTCCTGAGACCTGATAACCATCGGAGCTTACCACAATCCCACTGCAAGACCCCACCTGCCTGTGCTGTTTCCACAGAAGACCCAGAGAAGGCAACAGGAGCAATGGGGAGTCATGTTTCTTACACAAGAGATAATTACGAAAAACAAACTTACTGTCACCGAAGGAGAGTCCAGTGATTAAGGCACTTAGTGAGGTCAGGAGGTCCTCACTTAATGGAACTTTCCAGAAGCTCTCAGTCAAGCCGGGGAAGAACCCTTTTGTTTGTATGAAAGGATCGTAGTCCCTTTGATTACTATATCAGTTGTGAACTGGTTAGGGGCAGGGACCGAGGCTTCATATATGTTTTCTGAACCTAACCCAGGCCTGACCCAAGTAGGTGCCCAGTAAATGCTGAATGACTGAAGGAACAACTGTCTTGGAGCTGGCTGCTTGGTCAGGTACAAGATGCCCACTTATGCTGTCCATGAACTCAAACTTCCTGGCTGAGCTGGTCTACATTGTGAGCTCAAGGATAAGGGCCCAGCACAACAAATTTTCTATGAACCTTTTATTCAAGTGTGACCAACCTTTTATGTAAGCGTGGCTATTTTAAAAATAGAGGGTTTCTTGAGAGGTTACTTCCAGGGTCACAGGAAAGGGGTACAGCAGGTCCAATAAACATGGAGTAAGAAATACATGCTGTTCGTGGACTGGCGTGGCAAAACAATAACGGGCTGCCCGGTTCGTTCCCATTACTCCATCTCCCTCTGCAGGCCGCCCCAGTGGTGCCGGTGGCCTGCGGGAGACTCTCATGGGTTGCTTCCTTTGGGTGGGTGACTTTCCTTACTTGCCACAGAACTTTGTGCTTTCTGAGAAAGCCCACATTAGTTTAGGGCCTTCTGGGCTTTTAAAGAATTGTCTCATCATTATTTAATTTTGTGTGTGTGATATCTGACCCTAACTAAATTGTAAATTCCTAGTGAGCAGTCTATTTTACCTTCCAGCCCCCTACCTCTCCTCCGGCCCACCCCCTGCACAGTATTCAGGAAATAATAAACACTCTCTAAATCCTTGTTGAATACGTTGGCAGGCTGAGCTCAAGGCCAGTTTCATGAGTGTGCAACCTGCCCAGTGGCACAGGGCCCCGTGCTTGGAAGGGGTCAATGCTTGGTTTAAAGGTCTGCTGTCATCATCTTGAAATTCTTAATAATGTTTGAACAAGGGACCCCACATTTTCATTTTGCACTGGGCTACCCAAATTATAGCACCCAGTTTTGGGTGAGTCTCTCAGCTGAGTCACTCACTGGATACATTTTTTCTCAGAAAAGAAGATATGGATTATGGGAAAGGGTGGACAGCCTGGGCTCCATGTGTTCTAGCTAAATATTGCTAACTGCTTTCAAAAGCAATGCACTTAAACAATACAAAAGCCTTAACTGTTCTCAGCTCAGTGCATGTGTACCTGCCAAGTCAGGAGGCTCCCCCCAACAGAGCAAGCTGTGAGCCCTGTGAGCTCAGGGGCATCTGGAAATTCCTCCGTCACTGAAAAGCACTCTCTTCAATGGTCTGATACACACCTAAAAATACTCCACTAAGAATTTTTGAGTTTTTTCTTCTACCCTTCCCCATAGCTTTACCTCATTCCAAGAAATTTTGCCTCAAGCAAGAATATATTTAAACCTAACAGATTATTTTGCAACAAAGATGTGAGCAACTGAAAGGAATGTCATATCCATCTTCACAGCCATGGGCTACTGCCCCATTGTAACTGAGGGCTTATTCAGGCAGGGAGCATGCCCTCCTCCATGCACCCGCCTCACCCACCCAGTCCTAGAAACACCGTGCCCCTCTATGCCCCTCTTGGCTCCTTCTGCACCCTCTGACAATGGCCAGGCTAGAGACGGAAGGCTGTGCGGTGGGGGGAGCACGAGGCTGGGCACCAGTCAGCCATGTGGGTAGACAGCCCCTGTGTTCTGATGCCAACATGTGCACAACAGCCTGCGCAAGCAGGACCAAGGACACCCCAGCTGCACACCCAGCTCCCCACCAGGGCCGACTGGCAGGCAAGCCTTCCTGGCTTCAAAACAAATAAGCAGCAGTTTAGCCCTTGGCCCTGTCCTCTCCTTATGCCTCCTAAACTTAAGCCTTAGCTGTTGCTTCACTAGACAAACTCCCAATTTGGCTGCCGGAGCAAAAGCTGAGTTTCACTAAGTGATCAAAGGCAGAGTGACAAAGTGATGGACGATTTGAAAATCACAGCAGCCGTCTTCTAGTGGTTTTGGGCAGGAAAGAGACCAGGGACAAGTGGAAGCTTCGTGATCAATAACAGCCTCATTAGCCACCAGGCAGGGCAGGTGCAGAGGGATCCATTCGGCTGCATGTGAAGGAAAGCAGCATGTTCCCAGGCCCCTTTGTCTGCAAAACTGGTTTCCTGGCCAGTTTCTGGGCTGCTCAGGGAGTCTCACTGGGAATCAGGGGCAGGCCCTTCAGCTACAAATGGGGTTAGCAGGCCTTGATTCAGAAGGAAGGATCAGGTTTCATGGGGAAATGGTTTGACAGGACACCTGTCCTTGCCTGTTGGCTGGTGTGTTTGAGAAATCCATTAGTGGAATGTTTCTGCAGCTTTAATCCTCTTACCTTCCCTCAGACCCTCTTTTGCCTCCTCCCTTTGTGTAGTATTCTAGGTATTTTATTAACTTGTCTGCACTAATCAAATGCCAGTAGGCCCACTTTGGTTTCGCAGCTTTCAGCATGTCAGGAGCCCTGCTTGCTGGGGCCATCTCGGAGTTCACCGACCTTCCTTACTTTCAGCAGAACTTGGTGCTTTCTGAGGAAGCTCATATTAATCTAGGTTCCAAACAGAACCCTGCCCAGGTCCTTGCCTGCTAAGTGCTCGATTTCTTAAGGGAACATTGATCTTCTGATCTATCACTTCCGTAGGACCTTGGATACACACATCACAGGCATTTGTTCAGACACAAATCATGGCGATGTGCCCCATGTTTCCTCCTCATGTGTGCAGGTACATCACTCATGCTGGGGGGAGGGGGAGGCAAATGAAAGACACATAGAGGCACATGGGTGTGGCTGCCATCACCAGGCTCACAGGAGAAATCACAGTTGACAAGTTTTAGCTTGAGCCCCTTTTGAATTTCTTTCGCACCACCTTCTAGACTCAGTCCTTTATGAACACAAGGCTCAGTAGAGCTATGTGTTAAATTACAATATTTGGTATATGTTCATGCACTATCATAATGTAAAACTGTCAGATCTTAATTAGGCTCAGCCCCCTGATTTTCACAGAATTTATACATGGTTACAGCCGCACCACGCCTCAGCAGAATGCTCCAAGTGTAACCCTTAAACTTGACAATCACTTTCAAGGAGTTTCCCTTCTCTATCCTCTTCTCCCTGAGCCCTCACTCAGGCCACAGATCAAACTTCAATTCTGTTTAAGAAGTCCGGTACCATGGGCCTTCGGCTGGAAGCTGCAAGGAGTTACCAACACCCCCATTTCCATGAGCCCACTTAAAATAATTGGCTTTCTCCCCACACCAGCATTTGTCTTGTACAGTCAGTCCTGGCCTCTCCACCTGCCTGTTCTCAGGAATCATAAGACAAGCCTGCACTCTTCTGCTGAGGTTTGGACTTACGCCAGCGGATTGCACCCGGGGGCTCCTCAGTGGGCTCCCTGGCAGTGCTGCCAGGATGGCTCCGTAGCTTCATGGCCACTGGCAAGTTTCTGGACTGACTGATATTTCTACTCCCTACCTCTCATGGCCTCCAGGCACCAACTTGTCTCTGTGGTGGTTTGTTGTATCTGTGGCAAAGCACAGAAAGGTTCTGCTCTAACAGAGCCCTCCTCAGTGGCATGCTGACCCCATAGTTCTTCCCTGCACCTCAGTCCCTTCTGGAAAGATGGAAAAGCGCAAGGGAAGCAAAGCTCCTATGAGCTGTCTCTGGCAGAGCCTGTGGCTCATGGCTCTACAGAT